TCCGCTCATCCAGTCCAACATTTAATGGGCCCGATAACTGACCCATCAAACCTAAGCACATATATCATTCAAAAGTGGACTTGGGCCTACCTCCAAGCTCATTATTATTTAACCCAAAATTCAGCCCATTAGCCAACCTGTAAAATTCATTAAAACTCGGCCAAGAATCACTCACTAGCCCATCACCCCATCCACCAACCCAAGACCCGCTCACCCAGCCCATCGCCCATCCACCAACTTTGTTTGAATATAATTTGACCATTGAAAGTTGGGAGTGACGTATTCTTCAAAAAAAAAATTATTTACTTAAATTCTAAGTTGAATAATCTAAATATTATTTATTATTCATTATTTTTTAAAATATTAAATAATTCCTCACATAAAATTATTTTTTATTTTTTTATCCACTTTAACTCCACTTTTAATTCAAGTATACAATTTATAATAATACTAAGTTGAAAAAATTTAAAGGAAGGTGTAAACTTAAAAAAATCTACCCACAGGGCCCACCCAGATAGCAGGTTGAGTTTCGGATAGTCTATTCCTATCTGAAACCCAGCTTAACCCAGCTCAGCCCACCTAATAAGTCACACAAATAATGGCTTCAACTTGCCCTATCCAAGCCCAGCCCAAAAAAATTTTCATAGCCTAACCCAGCCCATGAACGTCCTTATAGATGTAAAATATATTTTATTTTCCACAAAACGCACCTCTATTACAACAATTTTCACTAGACAGTAATCCAGTGGTTTCTCTAGTTCGTCCCTACCTATGAAAACTGCTGTCAGCCGTTTTGAGATTTGCTGGTTCGGTTAGAATACATAAAAATAGCAAAATAAAACAAAATTGAGGAATTTTTTTTTTTTTTTTAAAAAAAAGCATAATATACGTTCATCTCTCATTTCTTTGTCTTCCCTTTCCTTGAAACTTGAGGTTTCCTTTTTACTTTCTTCTGCGACTTCCCTCCAGCAGTTTTCCCCTTTTTCCGTGCTGCCCCCTGAATCGACACTTCCAAATTAGCATACATGGACCATGACATTGCTTCAAAACATAAAGCTCTGATGACAGGATGTAGTTCTAAAACATACCGAGGTTTTCTCGGCTTTTTTCTAGGTTTTCCATTGGATTGCTTCTCAGCTTCCTCATTCTGGTCAGTTTGATGAGTAACGACTTTAGGCATCTTGTCAGCCTCATCTTCTGAATCAAATGAGAATCCATCCAGTGTTCCTACTCATGCAGAAAAAATGAATGTAAATTGAATGTAAGGAGGCAGTAAATGTATTCTTATTCAGAACATTAAAAGTGCCATCTTGAATGTATGTATGCCAACAGAAGCCCTCGAAAGTAATCCTAACCTTCCACCATGGTTTCAGCCTCATAGACATTAGACTGTGGTTTCAGCTGAATAAAGTCATTCATGATAGCCTCTACCTAATCAGAAAAATATACGATGCTGAGTAAGTAAATCAAATAAAGTCATGGTTCGTGGTTCTTGGTTCTTCTCCCACATTTTTTTTGTTCATTTCTAAACCACATTAAGATAATAAAAGCAGCAACAAGAGGATCAGAAAATCATGAATTGGAGAAGCAATCATATGAGAAGAAGTATGAATGTGGAAGAGGGAGAGGGAGAGTGGGAAGGGGAACAAAAGATGCATCAAAGCTAAAAATGGAAGAGAAAACAAGTATTTAGCCAACAAACCTTTGCTTCTGACTGACCAAAGCTAACCTGAACAATGAACCAAAACATGTTATATCATAGAGATCAAGTCATTCAGGACATAGAAATTATGAGTGTGTTGTACATAATACACAGAGAGAGAAGAGTGAATCTAGAGTTTTCTAGCACGCTTCTTATGCCAGTCACATAGTTTCAGGCTACTAATGTCTAGGGTCAAAATTTGGAGATTAATGACGTACAACACAGAATGTCCTCGAAGGAACAATGGTAGTTTTGTATATGGTTCCTGAAACATAAACCAAATCAAATAAATCAGATCAGGTGAGGGTATATGAAACATGCAAAAGAAGTAGCAAGTTTATAAAACAACCAGATGTGAAGACTTTCACCAAAACAGTACTGGTGTCAAATTTTCTTTTAAAGCGCATTATAAAAGTTAGTAATAAGTGCATGAAAAGAAAGTAGAGGATCATCATAGTGATGAAATGTAACTGACAATGCCGAGTAAGTGCCAAATTTTAGTGGAACAATATTTTTCAACAGCACATCATATCCACTTAGACATTAAATGAAATAAGTATCATCAGCAACTGGTTCAACAACTCTATCAATTGTGAGCAGCGATGATTAGTCGCATACACAATAATGCAAATCACAGATAATTAGCAAAACGTTAACTACGTACACTATTACAGGAATAACACCTGCCTTTCAAATCTAAGAGCATTTCCTGGTTCCCTGATTGGTTATCTGAAATAATTATCCGTCCAACAGCACCCACATCGCCACTCAAATCTACGGATTCACCTTCACACTCCACAAGTGCCTGCACACATACAGAACTCTTACTAGTAGTATGCAAAGGTAAATCTGTTAGATAAAAAGAATAACACTCTAACAGGCACCTAAGAGAGGAGCATAAGTATGCAATTAAAGCAGCATACATGATGGGTTCGACAAGTGCATGATTACCAAAGAGATCCTATTATAATTAAGCAACTAAACAATCGAGGACATACAATCACCTAGTAATGCTTCTCCCCTGCTTATAGTTTATCCTTGTCCCAGAGACAGAAGTTATTTAGTTCAACTTCCAGAGAGGGAAGAGGATAGGGAATGTAAAACCTCATAGCACAGGTGGATTCAGGCATGCTCAACACTAACTGTGATATTGCAACTCAGACTCTTGAAACAGATTCTGAGGAGAAGGCAAATACAAATAACCATATTACAATGACCACTATAATAGCTGGGCCTACCTTTGAGCGCTGCACTTTCTCAGACAGCACCAAAGGTAGCCTTGAAGAGGAAACCTGCAGATTATGTGTAGTCAGGTAATTCCCTCAATCTAAATGACGTAACAAACTACTTTTCACAGCTAGAGAAGATTCTGACAGAAGGTCCAATATGCTTCTCGGTTATTTCATCTTCCACAAGCTCCATTTCACCATCATTACCTGCACAATCATTGAACATTTCATATAATTTAGGTTTACAAAAATGCATAGCCAGCATGTGACACAGAGAAAGAAGGGGGGTACAATTTTTATTATAGACTCGTGAACTTGATAAGAGGTTTTATGGTCATTCATCTGAAACCTTTGTACTTCGGTTCGGAATCATCAAGGAACCTCAGGCCTGTAAATTCAGCCTCCATACCTTCTTTGTTCATATGGCTGCTTAATTTCTGCCTTTTTTTGGGTATATGATCCTCTGTTTTGAGCTGTTTTTTAGGAGATTTCACTTTAGAGGCCTCCTTAAGTGAAGACTGTCCACCAATCTCATGTGCAGATAATTCCTCATGATGTGAGTTGTGCTCCCTTACAGAGATGGTATCAGGAGAAGATTCAGAATCTGATGACAATGTCCAAACTGGATGCTTTGTTTCCTGTTCATGAAAGCACTTTCTTACAATTAGTATGGACAACGTGATAATAAATTACAAACTAGCAAGCCACTTTAATTCCACTAGAAATGTAACACCAAGATTATTATGATGTACACGGCGAGACATACCAAATTTGGGACATTTGAAACGCTGCAGAGAGCCCGAAACCCAGTGAACTTGATAAAACTATTATGCAAAGGAAGACTAGCATAACTATGTCACAGATTGAAAATGTGCATAGAATCTGGATGCTAGAGGTGCACACAACTCGACATAATTTGACACCTCATGGTGCTAACCGAGGAAGGAAATATCTCGGCCAAAATAGTTGGGACAGAGGCTCTTTTGAGCTGAGTAATATGTGCAGGCTGATTACTGAAAATACACAGTGAAGTTCCGATATTGATTGAGTAACAAAAATCAATACCTGATATCAGGCTAACTACTTTTGGCCTTAAGAGAGTACTGCACAAATGACCAGTATGTTTGGATCCTTGGTGAACCTACATCTTATTGGGTGTATCTGCACAACCATTTGCTCGTGATTCATGAGAAACCAGTGCTACTGTTAAATTTACTCCAGTGTGTCACCACTATTCATGAAGGACTTGTGCATTCCCATGCACTCACATATTAAAGTAGTATGCTACAGCCACCTTAAGATTATTTTTGCTAATTTATATGATTAAGATTATCAGTTATTCTGACCACCTAGGATTAAAATTATTAGGGTTTATGGTGATATTTTCTTGTAAATAGTCCTTCTAAGCACCTTTGTAGTAGACTTCAATTTATATATAAAATTTTCCTTTCATTCCTTCTCCTGCCATTTGAGAACTTAGCTTTTGCTTGGATCAACACCCTGATGTCATTGGGATGAACCTACCTTAGTACCTTAATGATGCCTCCCATAATATTGTCCAACACACATTCCCTTGGCCAATGTATCAGCAACTTCAAGGACAGACAGCATTTCCATGCAGATGAAGAGGTTGTACACAAGGACTGGTGATGAGCAAATGACATGCAGTTTCCTATTTTAAGCTTCTGATAGATTTTGTTTCAGGCTTACTCATACCCTTGATGTTTTGTGGCTGCTATTTTATCCCAAAATTTGATTAGTAACTACTCACCAAGCAATATATCTCTGAATGGTGTCCTGGTGTCCTGGCCCAAAGGACCAAGGATATTATTCTATCAACTCCACAATCCAAATTCCATTCAGACATATATCAACTTAGCATCCGTTGAAATTAATGCTAATGCTATGCGAGTTTTCAGTTTCACCTTCTATAAGCAATGCAACTGCTCATTTTTCCCACAAAATTGACTAAAAAGAAGTTTAATACCTTGACTATTTCCTAAACTTGAGTGAATGGTACACAATACAATATGCCTACAGGTATCCATCAATAAAATAAGACGTTCCTCATTTGTACATCCCACCAGTGAGTGAGTCGTGTCAAAAACAAATAGACAATCTGCCTTGATACATGTGCATCAAGCTACAGAAATACAACTGTAAACTACACAAATATGCTATATAGGTGGAAAATGGAACCTCCTTATCTCTAAGGAAAATTCATTACACACTCCAAACCAGACAATAAATAAGCATTTTCAGTGCAGAGCTTCTTACATGAGGTTTTGTAGTCTTCACAGACGTCTCTTTCTTTGCAACTTCCCCATCAACCCCATTCCCTGCAGCATTACCAAGAAGAAATATATTAGAACACGGGAAGGAATCTATGTTTTCATTCTAAAAAGAAAAGGAAACTGTGAAGTCAAAATCATGTCAAACTCCACTCTTTAAAGGCTTCGAGTCAAATTGTGATTTCTTTATCTGCCGCATGGTTAGAATATTCTTAATATATTCATATGCAATATGGCTTGATATTGCATATATAAACCCTACAGTACAGTTAAATTAGCACCCACAATCTTTTTACCTTCTTTGTCTCTTTTCCTCTTTTTTGAAGGTGTGAGATCTGCTTTCTTATTTTTACTCTTGCTGCGGCACTTTGCTTTTAGAGTATTATTAACTGGAGACTCCCCAGTGTCTTGGGAGTTGTTTTTCTCAGAAGAATGAGATGTTTCTTTCTGGATTAATTTTTTGATACTCAAACTATCCTCATCCTCGCTTACAGTGTTGTCCTCTGGAGGAGACTGGGAGGCCAACGACAATGATAGAGCTGATTGAGTTGGTGCCTGTTAAAAATTAACTTCGCGCATCAAACAAAAAAATTAGTAGATTAAGCATAAGACAACTCAATCCTTCTAGGAAAGGACAAAATTCATCACAAAAATACCAATACCAATAGCTGATATAAAATCTTATAATATTACAATAAACATACAGTCTGATGGTGTAATTATGAGGATGGACAGTATATATGGATCGAATAAGCTAGTGTGAATCTGAGCTACAAGGCTCGTGAGGATCGTGGCAAGGCTCTTGGGGAACAGGAATAATTTGTACAGTGAAATTACAGTGGTCCACCTAATTCGGGAGCTGGGCTAATCCACTGTTTAATGGAGTTTCTTGCCCCTTCATCCTGTATTTTTTTTCTGTATGTGGTTTACAAAGTATTTCCGCTAGGGTTTCTTGCCTCGCATTGGAGGCTCAGTACATTATTTATAGTCTAATTCCTAACTTTATGGGATCTCCAGCAAGATCTTCACCTTCCATCTGCAGGATCTCCCTTGATTTTGGGAGATGATGTTGGTCAGTTGAGAGTTTAGTGCCTCGATCATAGCCTTCTGTTGCTTCGGAGGTGCCTTCCGTTGACCAGCTATTTCCTTCTCATTTCCCTTATAGCCTCCTTTAAGGGAGCTTGTTGAGTGGAGCTCGAGGTCTGGATCACGGAGTTCTGGCCATTTTATCTGACCTCCGCACCCGAGCTCATACTTAGAATTTATTCTAGGTATCATCACAGTCCATGAATAAGTTCTTTAATTCCAGCAGATCTACACACGCGAGCACTGGCGGTATGCATCTCGATTCAGTCCAAATACAATTTCACGACACAGATGCACGAATTTTTTTGTGTGTTACTGTAAATGCTTGAAATTCCTGATCAATTTCATATATGACATTATTATATAGCAAAATCATCAATGCCTTTGGAGTAATGATGAGTTTTCCATATATAGTGGAAAGCAACCGCCAATACATGTGAAATACCAAATTTGAATTTCGACCAAAAAAATTAAGTGAAATACCTGGAAACAACGAAGCCAATCTGGTGAGGTCTCCCTAGAGCTACTCATTTGACCTTCCAGGAAGATGAGACACAAAACTTAAAACCCTAAGCCTTGAAAATCCGAAGCCCCAAATTAGGAGTAGGGTATGCCGGTGATTGGTGCAGGTGATAAGTGAAAGACGATGATGATGTCAGTGTAGCTTGCAGCAGAGACGTCCGGAGACAGAGATCGGAGAAGTCGTAGTCGGAGATGTTTGTTATCGGCGCATAAAAGAAGTCACCGTACGGTGGGAGCCAAAAGGGGTGTGTTTGGTTTTGGGGACTTGGGAGTGGGGTCACATAGGGGTGATGCGAGGGAAGTGAAGTGTGACAAAACAAATGTAAAAGAAAAATTATTTTGATATTAAAAAGGAAAAATAGCGGTAATTAACAATACAGCAGGGTTGAGGAGGGCATTAATCTCAGTTACTTGAATTTGGTTTGGGTTTAATTCAGATACCATTCGCCTCAAGTTGAAATTCGTATTCTAAATAAATTAAGCTCGAATAATTTTATATTCGTTTAGAAAAACGAGTTTAAAAAAATTCGATTCGTTTATATATAAAATAGTCGAACGACTTAGGTTCGACTCATTTTTTAACAAAAAGAATTTAAATTTTTTTTTTAATTTACTTAAAAAAATAACTTGCTCGACTCAACCTTACAAAACTCAAATTAATTAACACCTCCAAAACTGAGCAAAAAATAAAAATTGCAAAGCAAAAAAGATTCGAGGGGAGTAATAGGAGTGAAACTCCTACATAAGCATCGTCATTAACAGTTCGAACTTAAGAGAAAAGTTCACCATCGGAGCCTAGTCGGCAAAAATCACATACACTCCCAGATGACAACTTTGAGACATAACATAACTTCCACGCCATAAAGTTGTCCGTGAAAAAACGATCTATAAAATAAAATTGATAACCGTTATTTATTGAAGTGTAATAATACAAAATTAATATTTTAAGGTATAATATGAAAAATTTTATAGTTAAAAATATAAAATAAAATAAAAATAATAGTCCAGGGGAGTAAAGTATAATTTATCCTTTTAAATACTTTGGTGGACGAAATTTTAAAAAAGAATTAAATGTATATTTAATTTGGGAAAAATAATCAGCACATACGTATAAATACCTTTGCCCCATTGTCTTTTATTTTATATCAGTCATAATTTGTGTATGAAGGCACAATAAAATATAAAATTCGAGCGTCGAAAAATTGATCACACTATATTAAATTTTTTCAACATGTGTTATATTATTGTATATAAATAATGTTTAAAATAAAAATTATATTAAACTATAAATTAATCAAATATTAAATAATTGAACAAATGATAAAAATGAGTGATGTAATATTTTTAGAGGGGAAAATATGTATGGGATAAAAATTAAACCTACTATGTGTTTTATTATATAGATTTTTAGGAGAATTTCACTCAGATCCCCTGGAATTTGTCACTTAATAATTTATATCTCTTTTACATTTGAAATATTATACACAAATCCCTCGAGGATTATACGCGCGTAACACTAAGATCCCTATTGTTAATATTCATTAGTATATTCGTTAATAAATTATATCCAAACTCCCTGAAATTTATAGGCGTGTAATACTTAAACCCTTCAAATTTAAAATGTAATATTTAGACAAAAAATACTTTAATCAAAGATAGAATATCAAACATTCTAATTATTACGATCAGAATTCATGTTCTATTATGACATTTATTGAAATAAAATTAAAATTTTAAATCTAATTTTTTTCTTAAAAAATTATAATTAGTATATAATTATAATATTTATGGAAATTTAATTTGGTCGTTTAAATGACCAAATTAAACTACTAAATTACTTTAATTAAAGTTAGAAGATATTATGTTCATTATAGTTTGACATTACTCCAATTAAAGTTAGAAGATATTGTGTTCATTACTGGTTGACCAAAATTTAAAATATTTAATATTCTATTTTTTATTATAATATTTTTTATTTAAATATAACATTTTAAATTTAAAGGATTTAAGTATTCTACGTCTACAAACTTTAAAAAGTCTGAGTGGAATATACTAATGAATATTGACAATAAGAGTCTAAAAATTATGTGCGTACAAATTTTAAAAAATTTATGTGTAATATATTAACTCTCATAAAATCTAAATTTTTTGATTGTTAGTGATGAGGATGGAAACCCATAATCCATCCCACCATGGGATTTGAATATAGTGCCGGCCACTTAGTAGTCTCACCTATACTACTAGGCCAAAGCACCCACTATTGCATTCCATCCGTAGTGGTGCAACCTTTTATCAATATGCCAAGGCACCAATTACTTACTTTGTTCCATTGTCTGGAATCTCGATTCTGTGGGCTGCCATGTGTGACCACTCATGTGCACGCCCACAGACCACTCAAGGTAACGTGATGCCACCTATACATTTCACTTCATGCATCTTCAACTGTCTAACCAGCAAAGTCAGTAAGATGTTGCCTTTGGCAGTATTGTTTATATTGAGGAGAATATGACTGAAACTGAAACCTTACTAAAAATTTATACAATAGAATGCAAAGGAGAAGGGGAAAAGATAGTGTCCAATAGGACGGTAGCTAAAAGAAAAAAAAAATGCATAATTATTTCTTGGATTTTTTCATGTAAGTTGGATCTGCCCATTCTTCTCAATGGGTGCATCCCCTTAACGGCATAGATCATTTCATTAGGATTTGTTAAATAGACTATTATAGTTAGGTGTTGCATGAGAAGTTTTTGTGGTCGAATGAAATCTAGTAATTTGAGTTTTTTTACTACTGATATGGTTGCCTCACACTTTCATTGGTGTTTTTTGCAAATCAAGGGCTCTTAGAGCAACTCTAAGGAACTCTTTAAAAGCTTTTTCTTACTAATTTTGCTAGCCCCTCTCTAAAATTTGTCTCCAACAAACTAGGTATCCCACTATTTATTTTCCATAACTCTCATTCCACTGGCTATTTCTGGCAAGGCAACAACAGCTTGTTTTTTTTTTTTTTGGTGCCATTTTTCTCATTCCACTGCCCTCTCATCATCTTCATCCACAATCATAGAGGGAGGCTAACTGTGGCGTCTTTTTCCAAGACTCAGGTATGGACTTTCTCTAATTAGCACAACCCTCTCATCATCTTTATCCATAATCATAGAGGGAGACTGACTGTGGCGTCTTTTTCCAAGACCCAGGTATGGACTCTCTCTAATTGGGCTCTCTCTCCCCCCGTGCTCCCACTGAAACTCCACCAAAACCCCCCCTAAAACTAGACCCTACTGCAACTGCACCAATAATCAGACTAAAAACCCACCGAAACCCCACTGCAACTGCACCAAAAATCGGACTCAAAATCCACAAAAAACCACACCGAAAACCCACTGAAATTGCACCAAAAATTAGACCGAAAACTCCGAAAAGGGTTTCATTGTTCGAAAAGGGATTTGGACTCAAAGCCCAGATTGAAACTGTTCTGATCTTGCTTTGATACAGCTCTGGACTTATCTGCTAAACTTAACGGATCTTGCTTTTTTGATTTAAATATTTGGATTGCATTATTGAAAAGGGAATTCTTTGGATTTAGCTTCTGTTGTCAAACTTTAAATATCAGTTGTCATATATCTTTCGTCCCTTGAATTCAACATTTCGGAGGATTCTGTCGAATACCACCAACAATATAAAATCAAAAGGAAAAAATTAAATTTATATAATGTATGGTTGAATTGCTATTTTTTTAATTTTATTATTAAAAATTAGTTAAAATAGTTGATTAAAATAAATAGCGTGGTTGGAATGAATTTGAAAAATGATTAACTAAAATAGATAATATAATATTTAAATATACTTTCAGTAGCTATTTTAGTGAGTATTGTTGCAGTTATTCTTACTGGAGTAGTTTACTAGGTCACAACAAATGTTTTGTTTAATTCTATTCCATTGAGTTTGATCAGTTATCCCTCGCCTAAGTTTAAGATTTTACTATCATCTAATTGTATTCAACATTTTCTTATTTGAATGAATATATTAGCTCTTAAAAAATAAGGCTTATCCTTACATCAAAAGATCAGATATGTCAAAGTGGTAAAACTACTCAGTTGTAATGTGGACATTATGAGTTTCATAGAAATTGTCTCTTCAAGCTCCAAGTAAAATTACATTTACTTTTCTAGAATGACAATTTAAACTTATCTCTAGCTTATGCATGGGCAGGGGTGTTCATTCTATCTTACGAGTAGAAAATATGATATTTTATCTTTTTATTCGATATTTTATAGAAGAATTTTTTATTGACCTACTCTACTCGATCAAATGTGGTATTTCTATTCGACTTCTGACCAAATTAATCAAGTAAAAAATCGAGTTAATCTTTTTATAATTATTATTTTTTGGATCATTTTAACAATTTAATTATATAACATACACCAATTTAACAACATAATAAATTAATAACACTAAAACTTAAAACAATTATAACTACAATTACAATAATACACAAGAAAGCATAAATATCAATCCATCATAATTGTTGCATAAATATAATAACAATTATTTTAAGTTTAAATTATATATTTAAGGAATTATAGTTTTTAGTTATTAATATATATAAATTAATGAGAGTAGGGTATGATAAAAATACAAAAATTAATAGTTATTCTACATTCTCACCCGATTTAATTAAAAAACTAAAAATTTTGTCACATTTCTATTTGATTTTTTTAGTTAGTCGGTCAATAAGATCAAATAAATTCAAATAAAATAAAAAATATGATTAATTGAAAATTTAAACACGCTATGAGTTTGAAAGCCCATCTCAAAAGTAGCATTCAACCTTCATTGTCGAACCTTTGACAAATTCATTGGCCTTGACAAATTCATTGCCCTTGACAAATTCAAGAGCAAGGGACGGTCACAACCTCACATCAAAGGTTGGTAAAGTGGTCACCATCTGTCAATAGTATGACCTATGGCTTTTGAGCCGTCCCCAGCAACTTTTTTTTTTTTTTTGAGAGACGTATCCTACAACTTGACTTCACTGTTCTGGGCATCTTCAAGATTACTTGTTCGATTAAAAAAAATTAATAGGACTCACTTAGCTAAAAAATAATATACATTTAAATTATAATTTTTAAATTTTATAACGTTACTTTTCAAATTAAATTTTTTTATATAATTCAAATAAAATTTAAAAATTAAAATCAAAAATATATATTATCCCTAAAATGAGTGTAAGATAAATAAGTCTAAAAAAATTAATAGAACTAACCCATCTAAAAAATAATATACATTTAAATTATAATTTTTAAATTTTATTCAAATTTTATAACATTACTCTTCAAATTATTGGTGGGCAATTTCACAGCAGGCCTTTATTATCACTAGGTTCCAGCCCTTTCTTGTTCTTTTCCAACCAACCACGTGAATGACTTTTAGGTAACCTTCCGAAAAAAACAGACGTTTAGGTATATTACCTGTTGGATGTTTAGTTTGCCTAATGTCTCTGTTGCAACGACTTTGACAGGTTAAGCAAACCCGTTATCACCTACTTGGCTACTTTCCCCAAAAGCTTTTTGGTTATGTTGGTGTTTTTTTCTAAATTGGGTAAATTTGCTCGTAATATAAAATCTTCAGCAATGCTAGCATTGAACTTGATAAAATAAAATAGTTGAATAACTAAAAAATTAGATTATTCAGGTATGATTAGTACGCGTCGTAAGATTATACATTGAATTTTTGATAGTAGACCAATAATAAAAAACGTAGACCAATAATAAAAAACGTGTTTATGATTGTTTCAAAACAAATGAAACAAAAGATAGAGTAGAAGTAAAACAGTTATTGTATAAGATCTATCAAATGCTAATATGAGTACCGGGAAGTTCATATTCAACAAAAATTCAATAGGGGAACAACTTCAATATTGGAACAGAAGAAATAAGGGAACAAAACTTCAAACTATTTGTCTATTTACCCACAAACTTTGAGAAATACAACTAGGCACACATCTCTTACTCCTAACTCAAATCTTCTGCATCATTGTCAACGTGTATACATTGACGATTTACATGGTAATTACACCAAGACAACCGTGGAAATACTCAAATTAAGCAAAACACCGACACCGAAACTACATTAAAATACAAGGCTAGGTGCACCATCTGGATTTTCCACTGTGAAGCCGGAGATCCCGGAGTTCGCCGGCCGTCCGACCGTCATTGAGAATTGGGGAGAGAAATTGAAGCAGCCTGAAGAAGTTTCTGGGCAGTGGAAAGTTGCTCCATTAACGACAATACACGAGTACGATATGTTCTGGCCTGGTCGACGGCCTCCGCCTCGAGCTCCCCAAGTTGGGAGCAAAGCAGCTCCTCCGCCTCCTCCGCCACCCTGAGTCTCTCCCATGTCCTCTGCAGCTCTAGTTTCATCCTCTCCTCTCTCTCCAGACTCTTCTTCAAATCTTTCTCCAATTCCTCGTTTCTCTTCCTCAACACCTCCTCCTCCTCCTCCGGCGATGCCGGAGCGTTGCGGTGGTTGTGGTGGAGCGGCTTCGTTTGTGCGGAGGACACGGCTATGGTTGGAGCCATTTCAGTCTCAGATTCTGCACAAAATTGATGCTTCACAAATCGGAAATTGTAAAAAATAGTGTAAAGAGGTTTTGAGGGTTGCTGTCTGGTTTGAAGTTGAAGTGCCAGTAACAGATGGTTGATGTGGTGGTTCTTTATAGGCCCAGAGTCTCCATGTCCAGGTTCAATGTATCTGCTTTAGAGCTTTATAATGCCTTAATGCTCGTTGCTTGTTATTTTGGTTAACTTTGTTTATTACGATTTGTCAATTATTGGAAGAAGTCGTCTCGCCTTCTAGTACGTCACTGCATACCCAAGCCTACGCCGACACGTTTGGACTGCGGCCCACTTTCGTTGTGTAGCTTCGTTGGGATCTGGATTCGTATGATACTCGGTTCACACCCAGCTTCTGGACAATACATAAAAATGTCATAAATAGAAAGTCGTTTCATATGCAGGGCTATAGTTGAAAATTTGACACATACATTTGAAAATAAAGTGTATATACATTTGGCATCGTAGGTCTAACGAGAAAGTGTCAAGTAATAAAATCCAAAGAAATATGGGAGATGATCATTAACATATATATTTGAAAAAAAAAATTAATTAACTAGAAATTATTTTACAATAACTATTGATGAGAGCAAAATTGTCAAAAATAATGGCTATAAAAAAAAGTATTTGGTGGAAAATACAAGATATACTCAAATCCCCCCCCCCCTCCATAAGGCCCATGATCTAGACATTATCAAGAATAATTTTTAGTTTTAGAATGCAGTTATTATTACAATTAGAGTTTTTTGATTTAACATTCTAGTAGTTAAAGTTCTTTCGATTGAATTAATAAATGAATCATCTTTTATTAATTCTCTGTACTGTATGTTTGTTCATTATTTTTATCTAAATAAATCTTAAAATAAGATATTTGAACCTCTTACATCAATCGCCTAAAAATAATCTATCAATTGAAATATTTCTGTCAATCTGAATAAATTTTGAAGCGACAATCACGTATTAATAATGATTCGGTATCACATGATACCACAATGTCCTAATTAATAGTTTCCCCTCCCTATTTTATTGTTTCATCTCACATCACTTTGTCAAAAGCCAATGCCCCAACCTACCACCCGTTAATCATGGAACCAAATTTGGAGATTAAGTTTAAAATAAAAGAGATGCCAATGCCCCCATTATTAAAAGGTTGCCCCTAAAGTTTAGCAATTTCAATTTCTTAGAGCAACTCCAACGCTCTCAACAAAAGCCGTCTTTTAGTTATTTTGCTGAATCAATTCAAAAAATTCCTCTCTAACCAGCTCTCTATTTCACTAGTTAATCTGTCTTTCCCCATTCTCACTTATCAGTTCTGGCTAACAAGACTCTCTCTCATCAGAGTTCTCTCTCCCCAATTTTAAGTTGTTTTTCATCAGAGTTTTGCGCCAATTTTGGAGTTGTTCTTCATCAGAGCTCTCTCCATGCACTCTCAAACTCTCTCCGCTGGTAGAGCGTCCCAGGAGTCACCAAATTCCCCCACCACCATCGTCGATCTCTGTTCGTGGCCAACATCATCAATCAAGAAGGGTTTAAGATTTTGCTTCAACACACCCTTTCATTTCCTTCAGTTGACAAGTATTTCATCGCTCGTCTCTCTCATCCAGTCTCTTTGCACTCTTAGGTAGTGATTGTTTTGGTTTTGGGCTAACAGTTTTGTTTAAATACCTATTTTTCGTTAATTGTATGTGAATATTGAACTCATTTCAATGAAAATTTTGACTTGTTTTCTCATCAACCTATACTTGCACCTTTGTTAAATTGAATTTCTCTCTGTTTTGACTTGACAATGTAGTTCTGTTGCTCACAACTCAAAACTTGAGACCCTATTCGGTTTAGTGATTTTGGAGTTTAGTTCTCAATTGAATAATTCTGGTTAGCCTCTGGGTTTGTTCAAAAACTTGGCCTGGCTCGATTTCAATCCTCTCAATTTGGTTTGGCTCGATTCCACCAAAGTAAATCATATATTTTTCTCATTATTGTTCTTCTCTCTCTCTCTCTCTCTCTCTCTCTCTCTCTCTCTCTCGCTCTCTCAGTGAATCTTTTTTACTCAATATGTCCATAATGTGCTAATTCTTGGTTTTTATGACTATGTACTGTTAATTTTGATTCAATTTCTTAAAGAGATTCATTCTTTCCCAGGTTATGGTTATTATGATTTGGTTGTTTTGTGCCAATTCTTTATAGTCCTCCTTTCTTTTTGATTCTTGCAATTGTTTCTTTAGTGAAAAATCTCTTTGTTCCTTTATGAATGAGTGAATACTTTTTGGCAGTTCACACTTGCTTTTTGGTTTCTTTAACTTTGTTTTGGCAGATGATAATTATGTATGCGTAAGAGGTAGGCCCTTTAGGAGTTCAATGTGGGTTTCGGATTGTGGTGGACAGTTTGAGTATGTGGTTATAACGTGGGACACGCCCATGTGACATTGTGGAGTTTCTAGAACCACTCTCTTATAATGAATATCTTAATTGTTATATTAGTAAAATTTAAGGTCCCATGCGTAGCAGTCCTAATGAATATACTTTTACATGATTCCCAATTGATGGAGCTTGGATCTTTCAGGTTAACACCAGAGTGGTCACTGCAGAACACTAGTGTCTTTCATGTTAACAAGACAATGAATAGTCAGTGTCTGATTCCGCAAAAGAACAACACAGCTTTCCTACATAATATTTGTCTAATGTGACCGTTGTTTTTGAACTTTTAGCCGTTGAAAATATGACCGTTATAAAATTTAAAATTTGATAATGTGGCATGACATGTCATCATTATGGTGCTCATGTGTTAAGTCACGTGACAACATGGTTATCTGTTATTCCTCTTTCTCTTTGTCTCTTGGATTTGGATTCGACTCCCATCATGAAGTTGTAAACTTGTAACCTCTAGTCTGGGCCTAAATTAACGAAAAAGCCACAAACATTACAGTACTTTGAGTATACATTACGTGTCTAAACGGTGTTGGCCCAACTTCGCAGAAATCCAGCCCAATTCTAACTCTATGCGATACCATTATATTTTACAGAAAATTGGGGGTTAATCGTATTTAGGAGACTTTTAACGTTTGAAATACATGCTTTAAACATTTTTTGCATGAAGTCTCACACCTGATATTTTGTTAAGCAGTTAAGTTCTTTAATTATTTTTTATTACTAAATTATCCTTATTGCACTATTTTAATACTAAAAGTAGTTTTCAAATTGATTTGGATAGCAATTACCATAGCTGATGCGAATTTGAATGGAGCTTTACACCTTCAATTCAATTGAAATCAAACTTGAAATTGTTGCTATGGCAAATATTTCTTTATCTAGACTATACTAATTCAGCGACCGAAAAGAGTTTCATTTTTCTTTTATAATGTCGTTTACTTTGTGGTCTCTTCGAAACCAAACAGATGGCAAGAGGAAATTGAGGAAGAACATAGCACCTTGTTATGAACTTATGGATAAAATTGTTGCTGAAAATTTACTTGTAAAAGAAGGGTGTTCAAGTGTTTATATGCATACATCTAATATTATTTTTAACCGATATAGGATTGTAACATTCCATTAGATTTCTGTAACTGACATCCACAATGGACTACATTATCGTATTGACTTACCAATAGTATTTTCTATTTGACGACTTCACTCACCTATCAGTATCTAATGAGATAATACTAAGTCATCTTAATTCAACATATAGGTCGCTATTTCTGTGATTCGACTATCGAGAGTTGTAGCTCACATTGTGTTCGATCTTATACTCGACATGGTGGATAACTCTGATACAAATTAATACGAACTCGTGGATAGAAGTCGCTCCTGAAAATCAACTTGCAAGAGTAAAATGTTTAAGAGTTTATATATACACATTTAATCTTATTTTTAACCGATATGAGATTATAAAACACTTGTATTCTATGAAGAAGCGATAGTCTTCGATATTGGGGTCATCCTTGAGATCTTTAAGTTCTTCTTCAATTTGTTTCTTATTTTATTCATAACTCAATTTCAAAGTGGCTGTTCTTCTGAGTTCGATTATCCAGATTAATGTTATTTGGGGAGTTGGATTTTTGAATTTATTTTATTCAATTATTTTTCGACTCAAGTAATATGACAAAAAATGTAACTAAATAATGTCATATTATCATAATGGTGGTGTTAATTCTACCTTTTATATATTTAATATTTAATTTTTTCCCTTATAATAAAACCTCATTATTTAATTCATATTTTTATCCCATTTTTACCCTTCCAACTCTGCATCTTGTAGTTTTTCTCCCGTTGGTCTTCATTATTGTTTTGGTTTCTGAAACAGTGCATGTCACTGTCTTACTTAATACAAGCACCTTCTATTTATGACATTGATGTATTTAGTTTCTCGTAAATACATAAGTAGGAAGATTGAGTTTAAAGCAATTTCAGGTAATAAATTAGTGAATTCATTACATTCACATCGATACCACCGTACTAAGGATCCTTTGGCATGGATCTACTAGTTTAAAAAATCATCGATTTGGTCAAAGTTAAATTATTTATATCATAATTAGGATATTTATAATTTTAAAAAATTATTAAAATTTAAACTTAAGACATCTATAATATAAAATAGACTAAATTTCAATAAACTTATTCGACGGTGTTAAATAGATTCATTCAACTACTATCAACATCTTTATCAAAACTATTAACATTGTACTATTAATTTATAACTGATCCTTTTTCTACCCCTTTGACTCACGCAAAGCAACGTGATTATTGGCTGGTGGAGTGGAGAACTGAAGCCAGAAGGAGGAATTATTGGATGTTTTTGCAATTTAATTTCTCCTTAACACGCACGCCTGCCTGCCTGCCTGCCATGAATGAAAACGAGGCCATATATTCTCAATCTCAATTTATTAATTAATAGATTGATTTAATCCATATCATAATTAAGAAAGTAATCTCTCAGTACCTTCTCTCTCCTTCTACGCCATCTCTCTCCTCTGTTCTTCGTATTGATCTCACGCCTCCGAAGTCCTTCTGTCAGCTCGGCACAAAAACTCTAATTTCTCTCAAGTAAGTTTTCCTTCTTTAGCTTCATCATCAGTTGGTCCAGTTTTTTTGAAATCTCTCTCTTTGATCAGTTTCCTAATTCCAGTTTTAATTAGTATTTCTATTTAGTATTAATCGTAGTCGTCGTCCTCATCATATTCTTTTCATTTGATTTCGATCAGCTTGATCTGTACTTGATTTGACCTTCTAGAGTTCCCATATAATCCCCTGCATCATCGATGACGATTTTCTTGCGAGATTCTTAGTTTATCTGTGGAATTTATTTTCAGGTGTACATACGTACATTTTAGAGGGCTTTGTTTGATAGATGATCCATTGTGTATGTCAGTTGTTAATGGATCTGAATTTCACTACGTTTTTAGTGCAAGGTTTATCGAATTTTCATGATTAGCTGCTAAGAGTGGTACATGGAAGTGCAATGTAAAGTGGTGGATAGAATATTCGTGTAAAGATTTGTTGGTATAGAAATATGGATCTGCACAGTAATTCTCAGGGTGAATACGGACGGTTTGAACAAATACTTACACAGTTTCTTCTGAAAAGCTTGCATATCACATTGGATTCAAGGGTTCCTTCTATTCGTCCATATAATCGCAGTGGGGAAGTGAAAAAGAGTGACAAATGGTTCAGCTTAGTATTAGGAGATCGTCCAGCTGCTTTAGATGATTTGAATTTCTGGCAAAGGAATTTAATGGAACCGATGATAATTGACATAATTCTTGTTCAAGAAACCCCAAATTCTATGCCTGAACTAAAGTCACGTTCTGCTTTGGGGTTGGGGACTTTTGTTGAGACGGTAATAGAGAGATGGGTTGTTCAATATGAGTGTATAGGGGCAACGTCTCCTCAAGTTGGTGATGCCTCTTACAAGAAAACATACCAGAAATCGATTATACTTCTACGCTCACTCTATTCAATGCTGAGGCTTCTTCCAGCATATAAGGCCTTTCAGAAGCTATGTTCATCAAGTCAGACTTGTGATTTTGAGATCAATTACAAGGTCTCTTCATTTAGTGCTCCATTTTCCAGGGCAGAGGAGGAAGTGATGAAGCAGTATAGTTTTGTTCCTGTCGACGCCCAACAAGGACGCCTTTCTATATCTGTGACATATCGGGAAAGTCTGTCTGATTTCAATCTAGAGACGTCTACATCGTTCCCACCAGAGATAATTACAGATTACGTTCGTAGCCCTGCCACTGACCCTCTGAGGGCTTTTCCCTCTGATGACAAGGGTTTTTGTGCTACATCCGTTCCATTCAGAGGGATGCAACCACCTTCTATGTCCCCATTTCAACGCCCGCACAGCTGGACAAGTGGCCTTCACAAGGGAGTAGCTCCTTTAGCACAGAACCGACCTTTCAGTGGATCTCCTCCTATGTATCATTCACCTATGCTGTATGAGTATTCTTCTTCACCTACTGATGTACATGGGCCTAGGGGTCAACATTATAGATTGCCAACTCACCACAAAACCACAAGCTTTGATGAGTACCAGCTTTCACCTCCGTTTTCATCATCTCCTTCCCCGTCTCCCCCAACATATCTTTCCGGTGGGACTCATGTGCAAACTCGTCTGCATTCAGAGACTGCCCCTGTAAGCATTCCTCATCCGATGATGGGCAGAAGTTCCAGATACCTTTCGCCCAATTTGTCAGATCCAAGTAGACATTCTCTTCCACCTCTATCCCCAGAAGTACGAGGCAGGATCCTTCATCCCAAGAGTCCCCATCTGGAATCAGGTCACTTAAGAAATCGGATTCATTGAGGGCCACAGAGTTGAATTCTGGGATACCGAATCAATATGCTATTCAGAAGGTGGGCTCATTTTCTCATCCTATGTCCCGCGTAATTGTTTATCCTGCACAGTTGATTGTAATTCACATCTTTACATTGTGTTTGGCGTAGAGGTCTCATTTGTTATGTTCCACAGATCTCAAGAGATAGCAAAGATGATTCAGGGAGGTTCTCAGCCTTGCTGTCTTCAAGTGGCTCACCACGAATTGGATTCTCGAGGAGCTCTAGTAGATTCTCTTTGCAGGATGATTTGGATGATTGTGACTTCTCTTGTCCTTTCATTGTTGATGATGTTGATCCTGATTCCCAAGCCAGGTACTTAAGTTTACTTCATTGCTTTAGTATACTATGTGTGTCAGAATTCCACTGTTGACGGCCCTAAGAAAGTAAGGAACAGAAGCCATCTGCATTTCACATGCCAGCCATTCTGTCAATTAATCTTGCTTATCTATTTACCATGATAAGCAAGATTACTGCTTATAATATGATATCTGTTTAACATTGATTTTTTTCACAGTAGATTTAATAACAGGAAAAGTTTAATGATAACTTGAGCAGATAATCACAAAAATGGTATAAGCCGAAGAACGCTAATGCTGGAAAAAAAATGTAACGAAAAACATTTGATGAATACAAGCTGAATAGCAATTTGCATTCTTAGATGGTTGAAAAAATTGAAAGAGAAAATTAAACATGTCAAAAAGCTTTATTGAGTTCACATCTTATTTTGCGTAGAAAGACGCTTGTAATGCCTTATTAAGGTCAATGGCTAGAATCAATTGTCCATCTAGTGTAAAACCATAAAAAGTCATTGAAATAACTAAAGATATCTTTTCTCTACAAAATAAGTTTTTTCTGTGAGGTTTAGACCTTAATGAATTCTCAAACATCTGAGTTTTCTAGAGGACTGTTGAAATTGTCCTTGTCGAGGAAATCTTTAATAATTTCTTAAACAGGAAAGGGGGTAAACTTATGGCTCTTGGACGTTAGCTGCTTTAGATGCTACTAATCAAGGAACAAATTCTGAAAGAGCAATACAGTGGGAATAGAGAAACTGCAAAGAAGGCTTCTTCACATACTTCTAAGAAGATTTTCCCTTAATCCATTCGCATGTTACTTTTCCAAAGATACCCAACTAACATGTGCACACCAAAGTTTGCTTATTCACTGATATCAGGGAAGAGTACTTAAATTGGTTAATGGGTAGCTAAAGCTAAATTGAACAATTTATCACATTAAGATCTCTCAAATAGAGCCCACTTTTATTGCATGGCTTTGAACTTTCCCATGCTAGGTAACAAATTGGTAATAATATTCCAAGTTGCTTCTGTGTATGAACCCTGCTCTGGGACAGGGTGACAGCTTGACAAATTAGGTTGTTTAACCCTAGTAGCAAATAATAGATTGAAAGAGGCTCTCAACCTCTTTGGAAGTGTTTTTTTGCAAACATGTATCAGATGCCCATATTTATTGTAGTTTTATTCTCCTGTTTTCAGCCTTAATTCGTGCAATTCTTTGTTCACTATGGATAACTGGATTCTTTGATGTAACATTAGATAATTTGCGAACTTTTAGCAAATATTTTCTGTTTATAGATCATTCTAGTATGATTACACATGTAGACATCAGCTTCCTTCATTTTAAAATGCTTTAAAGCTCTAAGTATTGTGCTCATGAAAAAAGGCCACGCCATGAGTTGATCCATAGGTATTAGAGTGTTGAAGTGACCTTATTTTGAGAGTGAAGGGTCAATCTGACCACCCTTTCATTTCCACACGTCACAAATTTAAAGAAACCGTAGAAGTGAAATGGAAGAAGATAATAGTTTTCTTGCCACAGTCGAAGAATTAGTACTCAATATGCCTCTCAAAAGATCACTATTGATCCCAGTTAGTATACGTACATGTAAAGTGCTCAAACGCGACAATGGTATGATAATGAGTAATGATGACAATGCAGCAGTTGTCATCGATCAAGAAGGAAGTCCAAAAGGATGTCTACCGCAGTTTATTTCATGGTTTAGTAATTCACAATTAAATCGGGCCACATGTATCTATAGTTAACTTTTCATCCCCCCACTAAAGCTTTTATTTCTCCCACCCAAAATTGTGTCCTGGTCTTTTCTTTCCTGTGCTCTCGACATATCCACAGTGGTATGAATTCAAAATTTGCAACATTAAAACCTGAGTTCCACTAACTAGGAGTCAATCTATGGAATTGAAGGTGAGCCTCATAGATGAAGAGTATTTAGAATTAGACTCTGATTTTTAATGCTTTCTTGTAGGCATCCCTTCATTCTTTTGCACAATATCTGCATAGCATAGTTATCAAATCGTGTATCGGATCGTATATAGTATATCGTAAGATACGGTGCAATTTTAAATAAATAATAAAAAAATATATATACCTTTGAAAAAAAATCATACACTCATAAAAATATAGCATTTCATTCATCCTTCACCACCTATTCAAGTTATCAACATAGTTCGCTAATATTATAATGCAAAATTTACAACCATAGTTCACTAATTCAAACTTCAAACCCCAAAGAGACTTTTAATCCAAATTTCTAACATCCAATCCATAAAATTAATCAAGATTCAGAAATTTTTATACAAAAAAAAAATTAGTGTCTTATTTAGACAAAACGACGTCGTTTAAAAAAAAAACAGGTTTTACGTGTGTCAGTCGTATCGTACTGATACGTATCGTATCGTAAAAACGTATCGTGTATTGGACGATATGATGCAAAAACGATACATAACTACGATCCGTATCGTTTTACCTCCGTATTGTAACGTATCGTACGATACTAACAACTATGCTGCATAGTACCTTCCTGGGGTCAATTTTTTGATCAAGAAGGATCACTGCAATAATTGCTATGTGCCTGCTTGTTTTATTTTTTAGGTCACATCTGCATTGGTAAACAAGTACCTTTTAGGTCTGTTAACTATGTGGCCCTGTATTCTTATTGCCTTGTAAATTTGGTTTTCTTTGGTACTTTTCTCTGTGTGAATTGCCAAAGGCAGAGTCCCACGATTACAACAACTGGTGTCTAGACTCTAGACAGTATATATGACTTCTGAAGGCATGAAGGCATGGCTGCATCTGAACCTGTATAAAAATGGAAATAGATTAAAATTTTTTGCCAGATTACAAATATTGACATCCTCAATCATGTGTCAGTTTCCCATGTAGGAGTTGTCCTTTTCTTCTCCGACAATTTGGGTGTTTATATACAATTGGAGTGTGTCCCCCCTCCTGAGTCTAGCTGCTGCTACCCCTGCAATCCAATTATCAATTTACTTGGCAATGGTTGGCAACAAATGCTTTGTAAGGGAGTAGCAATCTTGCAACTAACACTGCTAGATTGTTTGTTTAGCTATCAAATAGAACCCAAGTTTTCGGACCCCTGTATTGGTTCAATTTGTTTGAATTATCATTGGACCTTAATTTCTAAATATTTTGCCCGTCATATTGGTTTGCTACACTCTCTGTCTCTCGATATGTATAAATGGATGGATATGTTTTACATGTATTTATCTGTCTGTGTTTCTAATTATCACTATCTGTTTCCTTTGAGGCAATCTGCATTGAGCCTGTATTGTATTTTCACTATTGAAACTTACTGTGGTAATTACTAATCACTTCCAACATCATCTTGCGGCATACGTGTGTTACTTCTGTTTCATTCTGTAACCAACCTTGCTCTTTCTTCGTTTGGTCTTGGAATTTTCCATGACTCGTAGCATTTCTTTTTCCTTCCCGTTATGCAGTCAGTATCTGGATGGGAAAAAGGCATCGGAGACATTTTCGATGGCTAGAAAATCTCAAGATGCTGCTGCTGGGGCCCTTATTCAAATGCTAAGAGCAGCACCTCCTCTGAGGCAAGATTCTAGTTGTTACTCCTCTCGTTGCTTGAAGACTGAACTCGAGGGAGAACTTGGTGCTTCTTCTGGATCGTTTTTAGCTCGGAAGACTTCAGATGCACTGGAGGAGCTTAGGGCTTACAAAGAAATGAAAGACCTACTATTTTCCAAGAGCACAACTCAGGTTATCGGCAAAGAAGAATCTTAAGCTTGCTGATTTTGTTGGGTAATCTTTTACTTCGAAAAGTGATCTTTCAGGGGTTGAAGGATTACCACTGATGTTTATCCATAGAACACTAGCAGTTTGTGTACATACGATGACTGAAGATTAGTTGTCATCACTAAACCAGTTTGTCTTCCCCACGCCCCCTCTTCCCTCATAAACACAAAATTATTGAGAATTATTCCTACTGTTGATGATAACAGGTGCTTCTAAGAATGGCAATACAGTGAGCTTCAATTTACTGATTTTTTTATGTATATTGTTTACTGCCTGTCGAAATGACCATTGTATATTGCATATCAAGGTTTTTTTTTTTTTTTTTATCAAGAATACAATTGAGTGAAACTCTGACAGAACTAGAGTGTTACAACAAGAGTTGTTTGTATGTGTATTTGTGTCTATCAAAATTCTTGGCAGCGTCATCGAGACGTTGTAATGCTTTTTTCCTTACTGAAAGAGAGAGAGAAAAAAAAAGGGCTCGGGAGTTAGCAGGGTTGACAATTACTGACATAACACAAAAACACGATTCATAATCGATACGAATGTAACATGTTAAGATTAACTATTTTTTTGTATGAATTCGTATACAAAACGATCCATTAACACGACTAATAAATGAGTTGAGTTAGTATAAAAAATGAATTACACGAAAGTGACAAAATTTACACATTTAAGTAGTATTATAAAAATAAAATGTTATTTTTTATTATATTTTATCAAGTAGTGATCTAATTCTTATACAAAAATATATATTTTTATTATTAAAGTTAATTTTTAGTTTATAGAAAAAGTATAATCATAAATTCGATTAAGTGATATTGAAATTTTTGACATAAAAATGAGCGTGGTCAACACAAATATGATGTAAAAATAAATAGATCAACACTACACGATACAATTAGTTAAATAGGTTATGATTGACTAATGATCGATACAAACTCAAAGAGAAAAAATTATTTAGAGGTAGTCAATCAAAATTAAAGAGCTACACTTTCATAGGAATCTTTAAACATTGA